GGAGTGGACATCACCCCAATGCTCGACGAGCATAGCGTCGGGCGCGCTGCCGTCGGGGGCCTCAACTCCTGAGAGGACAATGCGGCGATTCCGCGCCCACCATGCCTGGGTGCACCACCGAAGCTGCCGAGCTTTCCTGCTCTTGTATTCCTCCGAAAGCTGAGGAGTGATAGACAACGACCCCTTCACCTCCTCCGCCAGGATATGTTCAGAAATACTCCTCACGCGCGCCATGAAACCACCATTGTCAACCCGCGGGCATCCCACAGGATCCACGAAATCGTTTAGCTCTGGAAATGCCCGAGCAGCTTTGGGGACAGACGCCGGTTGTCCTGGGGCACCGCAGGGAGGGCCGCGAAGTACCGGGAGAACATCTCTTGCGAAGACGCGGGGCCGTCGACGGACAAACCGTCCTCGACCTGGCAGGCACCATCATGATGCGCCTCCTCGAGCCCGAGGAGCCTGCTGAAATCGTTTCCAAGCCCAGGCATGTCCCGCCATGGCTCCTGGACCTGCTGAAAAAAAACTGATCTGCTTTTTTGCGACCCATGAAGGCATCCTCGGGGTCGTCGGCCAGCGACCTAGGTCCAACTGGACATAGAGCGGCGCGTGGCCACGGGGCCTCATGAGATCCGCGACAGGCCAGACCACGCCTGCGACGGGCTTCAAATCGAGCAAATGGCCAGAATCGAACGATGTGTACATGCGGTCTAAGCGACTCGCTGATACAAGCTGCTCGGCCTGCTTCACTCTCAAGGTCGGGTCGAGCAGCGCCAGCGAAGGGGAACGCGTTTGCAAAGGAGCTTCCCACAGCTTCGGCCTTACTCGACACAGGCTCAACTCGGAGAAAAAACGATTGCCCCCAGGGCCCAGACACTTGAAATCAACACAAATCCAAATACCATACTTCGTGACAGATTTCACCCGATAGAAAACCCGCCGAATCAACCCGTAGTTCTGTGTGTTCGTGAGGGTCGGACCAATCACGAATATTCACATTGTCAATGTCCATGTGTTCGATTTTCAACGTCAAGGCGTTCCACGGGCGCCCCGGAGGCGCCAAAACATTTCTATGCCTCTGGGGGCACTGGGGGCGCGCGCGCGGAGGAAGCTGCGCAGGGACGGCGCGCCGGCAAAGCAAATCCATATGAGACGAAGGCCGTGGGCAAGTACAGAAACTGCATCCCGAATGCCGACGTGCCGGACTGCAGACACTGAGCGTGCCGCCCCGAACTGGAACGAAACGGGAATTTCCTGCCAGTGGCGCCGGTCGCGCGGATAATGCCAGTCAGAGGATGGGAACATGAGGGGAGCCCGGGGGGCGGCAGATCGAATCGAAATCGAATCGGATCGTGATCGAATCGAAATCGGATCGGCTTCAACCTGCACCGAGTCGAACCGACGTCGAATCGGAGCCGGGCGCGCCCGCGTCGGATGGAATCGATCGAATCGAAATGATCCCTTTACTGTGAATGCTACATACAGTCAGGCGCACACGCTTCTCTCGGAGATGCACGTTGTGGCACCGCCCCTCGGCAATGACCTCGTGCTTAATGCGCAAGAAGAGCTGCACAATAATCCGACAAAAAAAGAATCACAGAGCCTCCAGCGGCACGACCAGGGAGAAAGGCACCCCTGCCTAGACATTGCTGAAAGTCCGCCAGTAGGAGATCCTCACCACAGCCATGGCACTCCTGGGGCACAACGACATCGGCCTTCTCACACAACGTAATGACCGTGGCCCTCGTGCGAGCCTGGGTGGCCACCTCCGCGTACAATGAGACGAACAACGTATGCGCATTCCAAGTGGTGATAAGGAACCGACGCTTGGGAATGAAAGGGAGCCCGACGAATCCGCATCCTCCAAGACACCAGCCGACCCCTCTCCCGAATACCCACCATCTTCGGAAATACAGCTGCTGCCAGATGAAGCCGAGACCGACGTAACTGGAGAGGAGGAGGAAAAGAGACACAATTCCCAAACATCACAAAGCTATTCAAGATCGCGACTTTTCTGCGCCATCTGAATTCTGCATTCTTCCCGGTAGCGTACCCACCGATTTTCTCAGCAACTGCAAGACCCGGTCAATCTCGGACTGCTCTATGTTGAGCTGAATTAGATCCTCAGTGGCCGTGCGCGTCGCCACGGAAAAATATCCAAAAGTCGTCATATCTGATGAAATAGAACTCATTCTTGAAGCCATTCGCACCCATCTTGGCCGATTGCGACCAGACTCCCTTCTTCAGCAGCAGCCCCTTCATCGGAAGCCAATCACGGCCGAGCTGACGCTGTCGACTAGGAACCTCACCTGGAAGATCTGTTATCGCACGCACGTCGTGCGACGGCTGGTCACGTGCATCGCGCCATTGCATGGGATGGTCCGTCATCCATCGTGGAACTCTCTGGCCTGAAACGACGTGTCGAAGTGCACGCTGTAGCTCTGGCGGATCATCGCGAACTTGGCCCTCATGGTGGACATGTGCAGACTCACGTGCTTCTTCAAATGCTCAAAGTGGGCCATCCTCGCAACAGCCAACAGGGGGAGAAGAAATCCGCTGACCCACCTACTGCAAACATCAGCTCATCATCTGCCGACATTCTCGCCGTAGGCACCGAACTCGAGGCACGAGATATCTTGACTGGGCGAGACGCGCTGCCAGCCGACCCAACCGATTCTGCTGTGGAGGCCGCCTTGACCTCGACCTTCATTGTGCCCATGTCCCTCTTGATGCTCTCGGCGAACGTTGTGAACTGCATCTGCATCGCGGCGTCGCCTTGACTCGACCCCTGCGGCATCTTCGACGAAGCCGACTCGATGCTGATGACCCTCGCCTCAAGGACACCGATCTTCATAACCTCGTTCATCACCCTCTGGTGGTTGGACGTCAGCAGGCTCATATTCTCCTCCATTGCTTTGTTGACCGCCGCGTTCTCCTCCCTCGCCTTGGCCATCCTCTCTAGCGCCGAGACAGGCACTTGATGGGACAGGTCATCGTCAAGAATCTCCACCTCCTCTCCGTCGGGCACTGCAGCCGACATCGCGGGGGAGGTGCTGGGAGCAGTGTCCACGGCTCGGAGAGAAAACGAGGACTCTGGACCTCAAGGGGGTGCGAAACCATGAGGTTGCAAGATCCTGTGGACTAGCCTCGGATCAGAGGTCTCCACTTGGTCCCCAGGGAATCTGGAGTCTTGAGCCAAAATGGCTACGGATTGACTGTAAGGAAAGGAGGTGGAGGAGGAAGAGAAAGGCGGAGGAGGAGGAAGAGGAGGGGAAGGAGGAGGAGGGGGAGGTACGTAGGGAGAGGAGGAGGAGGGGGAAGGAGAGGAGGAGAAGAGAAACAAGGAGACGGTGACGTGCGGAGAGGAGGAGGAGGAGGAGGAGGAGGAGGAAGAAGAAGACCGACGCCATGCGGGGTCTCGATGCCCAGTGGCCGAGAGAGAGGAGAAGGAGAACGAGAGAGAGAGAGAGAAAGAGAATCACATAAAAAACAAACAGAGACACTGAAGAGACAGGTAAAGAGATAGAGAGAGAGACATAAAGAAAGAGACAGAGAGAGAGAGGGAGCGAGTGAGAACAACACTTGTAGAGCCGGAAGGCAGAATCCCCCAACAGCATTTTTGAAACGCATGGTACTGCGTGCGCGAAAGCATGGCGTTTCTAACACATAAGGGGGTTGTTGCGTGCCACATCGTTCGCATTGCGCCCACGGGAGGCCCGCAGGCCCACGTCTCGGGAGGTCCGCCGGCCCACGTCTCGAAGCAAAAGAACGTGACGTCGGATGATTCGGGAGGGCGGAAAGCGGGGCGCGCAGGGCGGGTGCTGAGGCGGCAGAAATGACGGAGGCGGCGACGGGGAGGCGGAGGCAGAGGCGCAGCAGGCGGGAGGCAGGAGGAGGAGGGAGGAGGCAGGTGGGAGGCAGGGGGAGGCAGGAGGGATGAGCCAGTGGGCTGGATCACCTCGCGCGCGGCATCTCGAAGCGCAGAGTTGTGCGGATGCCTCAGTCGAAATGGGCTGGACCACCTCGCGCGCGGCATCTTGGAGCCCAGAGTTGCGAGGATCAGGCGAAGCGGGCCAGACCACCTCTCGCGAGGCATCTCGGAGCCCAATCGGCAGGACGTCTCACGCAAAGCGGGCCGGACCACCTCGCACGGTATCTCGGAGCTCAGGGGCTCGAGGATGTCTCAAGCGACACGGGCCAGTCCACCTCCCGCGCGGAACTCAGAGTTGCGAGGATGCCTCATGCGAACTGCGCCAGACCACATTTCGCGCGGCATCTCCGAGCTCAGAATTGCGAGGATGTCTCAGGCGAAGCGCGCCAGACCACCTCCCGCGCGGCATCTGGGAGCCCAGATTGTGAGGATGTAGCAGGCGAAACGTGCCGGACCACCTCGCGCTCAGCGTCTCGGGGCTCAGAGTTGCGAGGGCGTCTTAGGCGAAACGGGCCGGGCCACCTCGCGCGCGACATCTCGGAGCTCAGAGTCGTGAGGGTGTCTCAGGCGAGACGCGCCAGACCACATTTCGCGCGGCATCTTGGAGCTAAGAGTTTCGAACATGTCTCCTGCAAAACAGTCCAGACTGCCTCTGGCGCAGCATCTCGGAGCCAAGAGTTATGAGGATGTCTCAGGCGAAACGCGCGGGAACACCTCGCGTGCGGCATCTCGCAGCTGGAGAGTCGGCAGGACTCCTCATGCGAAACGGTCCGGGCCACCTTGCACGCGGCATCTCGGAACTCAGAGCTGCGAGGATGCCTCAGGCGAAGCGGGCCGGACCACCTCGCTCGCAGCATCTCGGATCGTAGAATTGCGAGGCCGTCACAGGCGAAACGCCCAATCCCGCCAGACCAATCGAGAGTTCTGCAGATGTCTCAAGCGAAACGGCCCGGACCACCAAATCTCTTGAGGATGCCTCTGCGCGCCGTGTTCCCCGCCAGGAACTAGCTACGACCACAACGGCACCCCGTTCAGCAAGTTGTTTGGTGAGAAAGGCAATCTCGTAAGAAACAAACACCTCCGACCATGGGATGCAATCGAGAGGTCCGCGGACCCACGACTCGAAACAAAAACCGTGAAGCCGGATGATACGGGAGGGCAGGTCAGCCAATTGGCTGGACCACTTCGCGGGCGGCATCTCCGAGCTCAGAGTTGTGAGGATAGCTCAAGCGAAACGGGCCAGACCACATCGCGCACGGAGAGTTGCGAGGACTTGTCGGGCAGCGCCCAGGCTCCTCCCGGAGCACAACTCGACAACATAGGTGCAATCAAATGGTTAATCTGAGTCCGACCCCTCCTCTCTCCTCCCTCCAGCCTCCTTCCTGTTGGAGCTCAGAGCGACGAGGATGTATCAAGCGAAACGGACCGAACCACCTCGCGCGCGTCACCTCGGAGCTCAGAGTTGCGAGGATGTCTCAGGCGAAATTGACCAGACTACCTCTGGCACGGCATCTCGAAGCCCAGAGTTGTGAGGAAATTTCAAACGAAGCGGGCTGGACCACCTCGTGCGCGGCAGCTCGGAGCTCAAAGTGTCGAGGATGTTTCAGGCGAAACAAGCCAAACCCACATCTCGCGAAGCATCTCGGCTCCCAAAAAAGCAATGATGTCTCAGGCGAAAAGGACCGGACCACCTCTCGCGCGGCATCTCGGAGCCCAGAACTGTGATGATGTCTCAAGCGAAACGGGCCAGACCATCTCGCGCGCGGCATCTCGGAGCTGAGGGGTGCGAGGATGTATCAGGCGAAACGGGCTGGACCACCTCTCGCGCAGCATTGGAGGGTGGCCTCCAGGCCCAGGGATACACAAAAAAGTAAACATAAATCCCAGGACCCCCCGTAGATTTCAATATTTCATTGACCTCCCCCCCCACGCACCGTATTTTCCCAGATGTTCATTGGAATCGACGGTTCTGTTGTGTCTGTGCCTACACTTTTCCCTCCCGGCCGAGGCCGTCCCGCGCCCCCCCGCCTGAATGGCCGCAGACCCCCCGCCCTGAGCAAAAAAAAATGCTGGGCGGACGCTGAAATGCGGCCGAGGCCAAGGGCCTCAAAGGGCGAGCGAAGGAGCGCGCGCCGTCGGTGCGAGGGGCCGGCCCTCTATGCAGGGCAGCGCGAGCGAGCCGGAGCCCACAGAGCAGGGGGGGGAGGCAGGAAGGGGGAAAAAGACAACCGCGCTCCACTACTCGCAAGGTAACTACTCGCAAATGGCCCGGATCCGCCGAGGGGGATCTGCGACACATTACATCGAGGCAGACGTTAGTGTTTAGGGCCTCTTGCGAGTCGGCACTTTGCGAGTAGCGGAACGCGCTCGGTGAGGAGAGCTCGGCCCGCATGAGAAGCGCAGGAGGAAAGGCAGAGGAAGGAACGGGGGAAGGGGGAGGGAAGGAGGCAGGGCGGAGCAAAGGAAGGAAAGAGGGCTCGGGATGCTCGCCCAGCCCCGCAGGCCCCAGGCGCCAGGCCACGTCCGCGGCATGCTGGCGCTGGGATTCCAGCTCTTTGCCGCCCGTATCTCCCCGTGCGCGTGCCCGCGTGCATTCGCATGGAATTGCACGCCGAATTTTCATGCATATTCCCCAGACAGAGCTTGCACGTAATGATTCTTACTTCTAAGGAACTGGGCCTGGCTGGCGGTCTGGCGGCTCCGTGCTCGCAGTCGCCGCCTCGTCGTCGCTTCGAATAGGTTTCAGTTTTATTTGTCATATTTATTGTACGTATTAATATTGATAACCACAAAATCATCCCCCCTTCCCCCTGGGAGTATCCGTTCCCCTCTTCATATTGCAGTTTACATGTGTGCCCCATCGTCCATCCGAAATATGAATTCGCACCATCCCACAGGGGGCATGCATCGGACCCCCCGCCATTTTTTGCAAAACGTACTATGCGCGCGCACTCGTTAATCAACAAATCAACAGTTTCCGAGAATCCCTTGCAAAAAATGATACGATGCGCTGTCCAATATTTCCATATACATTTATATGTTTATGTATAACTACATATATATATATATATACACATACATACACCAAACGGGGCTTCGTGCGCGCGCATGTCGACATCGTTCGAGCGCCTTTGCGCACGTGCTGTCGCAAGAATCCGCTGGTAAACAATAAATGCACACGCGCGCGTCGTCGCGCGCGCATGCAGAAAACTGTCGAAAGCCTTAAATGATATACATATATATATATATATGTGAATATAACACATATATAAGAGGAGTCGCGAAACCATTTACAAACACATGGTTTCGCAACATCAGTTTTCAAAAAACCCTGCGCTCACGCCCTTGCGAATTCTTGAGAAAACCAAGCGATGTTCAAACATTCTTATGATATTCTGCCCAACGGGCCTCTCGTTTCGCATGCCGGCCGAAATCCTTCGAACGCCGTTCCGCGCGTGAAGAATTCATTCGGACGTCCTTGCGGGAGAAAATACGATGCGCGCGCACTCGTCCATGATAAATCAGACATTTTCAAAAAAATCCCTTGCAAAAAGTGTGGCGATGTGCACGCGCGCGCGTCGTCACGCGCGCGTGCTGGAATCCCTCAAGACCCGTAGGTGCCGCAAGGATTTCACAACCGTGCCCAAACACAGATTAAGAAACAACGACTGGTTCCGCAAAACTACACATCAAAAAAGCCTGCGCGCGCGCTCTGGCGAGTTCTTGCGGAAACCATTTGTTTTCAACATGTTCACAAAATGCCGCCTAACGAGCTGGGCGTCGCGCGCGCGAAAGTCGAAATCGCTCGAACGCCTTTGCGCGCGCGCTGTCGCAAGAACCCTTTGCGAACAATGAAACGAAGTGCACGCGCGCTCGTCTTCGCGCGCGAACGCCGAAATCAGTCAAAAACCAACGGCGTCGCCAGGATGTCAAAACCGAGTGTCCAAAACACAGATTGCGGTATCGCCCCCCCACCCGCCATCCTCTGCAGAAAACTGTATGCGCACACCCTTGTTTATAAGTTTCCAAGAACCCCTTGCAAACAAAGCGACGAAGTGCACACGCGCGCGTCGTCGCCCGCGCATGCAGAAATCCTGTAAAAACCGTCGGTGTCGGAAGGATTTCAAAATCGAATTTCAAAACAAAAAAAGAAGGTTTCGCAACACGGATTTTCTGACAAGCAAACTCTTGCGAAATCTTAAGAAAACCTGGCGTTATTCAATATTTTCGGGAAATCCTACCAAGAGGGCTTCGCGCGCTCGCATGTCGAA